CTCCACTCTGCCCCAGAGCGGACTTCGGACCAGAGCAAGGGCATTTTTGCCTCAACTCCAGGATTTAGGCCTTAACATACCAGCCATTCTTGGATTCTCCAGATGACCCCTGGTTAGTGTCCTGCCCACCTTTCATCTGGATTCTACAAAAAACAGGAACTCCCACCGTTAGGATTCATGCAGAAGTGTCTGTACCTTGGGTGGGTGGGTGGGTGGGGCCACCTCCTCCCTTGCCACTCCCACAGTCACTAGTAGGGGACATGGAGTGAGAATGGCTTTTAGCAAAGTTGTGCAATGGCCAGGCTTGTGCTTCTAGCCAATATGCTGTTATGTACAGAAATTACTGTGTGCAAGGCGTTTGTTTCATAACTAAGCATTGTGCTCTCCTGATGTGTGCTCTGACAACACTGGTATGACTTGTTCGAGACTTTTCTCAGATCTAGTGTCTGAGAGTTTGAGGGACTACTATCATGTGGAGTGTCTTACAAAATGTTCAGGTGGCTGAAAGAGCTTGTCAGCCCAGGAGAACAGAATTTTGCCAGCCAGCAGTGCTGTTTTGTGCCAACAGAGCAGGCCTCCTTTCCCTTGGCACTCAGGCATTAGTGCAAAATTCCTGGGCAAGACTGCAGGCCCTCTGTCCCAGGAAGAAAGCAGAAAGTCCGCCTTCCAAAGGTTAGGACTCTGCTCAGTGGTTTATGTCAGGAGTTATTCCTAGGCCAGTAAGAGCCAAAGAATATTCCATTTTCCTTTACTTGCAGTTGAAAACCACATTCAGTAGAGGTGCGTTTGAAGCTAGGTGATGCCTAGGCGTTCGCATTATTGAATGTGAATGGCATTGTTTTTGTCATGCAGATGTTTATAGAAATCTGGCCCAGAGCATGTACAGCTGTGAGAGGTCATTCACACTGGCACGAGAACTCTGGTCTGTTTAAATTCTGATGTTTCTGTGAAATTCTCAGAGTGTTTAATCCTACTCAATAGTATCATTACAATTTTCTGTAAGAAAAAATATATTACTTATTTATCCTAGTATTCCTGTCAATATAATAAATATTGAAACAAATATATGGTAAACTTAAGTGTTGTGCTGGTTTTTGTGATTTAAAATCAGTTGGTTTTTGAAGTCTAATCATTTTCCTCTCCTTCGGGGGTGGTGGGGATGGGGTGGTTATTTAACCTTAAATACTTTCTAAGTGTCCCTTTGTTCTTTGGAGTGCCACTAGCTGGTATAGTTGACTCTCAATCCTGTTCCCCGGTCTGTGGCATCTGATGCTCAATTTCTCATTAACAAACCCTGGAACACAGCACCAACCATATCCCTTAGACCAATGGACAGCAAACTCATTAGTCAACAGAGCCAAATGTCAACGGTACAACAATTGAAATTTCTTTTGAGAGCCAAATTTTTTTTAAACTTAAACTATATAGTTAGGTACATTGTTATTAACTTAATTAGGGTACTCCTAAGGCTTAGGAAGAGCCGCACTCAAGGGGGCAAAGAGCCACATGTGGCTCGTGAGCCGCAGTTTGCCGACCATGGCCTTAGACCAACTATTTGGTGTTATGATAGATTTTGTTATAAAATCTGAATTGCTAAATACCTCAACTATCAGTTTCTCTGAAAGTACAAAAGCCTAAAACATACACCGGTTGTTCAACTTGAGCCATGGACACCTTTCCATTCAGCCACAGAACTTCTCTTGAAGTATTCACTTGAATTGCATTCATTATAATGTCCAGATGTGTGTCTCATTATTGCAAATATGTATTTCAAATATCCAGAAAAAAATGAGGGGAGAATGAGTGTTATGCAAAGTGCAAAGGTCCAAGTCCCAGAAAAACTCAGTGTATTGTTTGTGGATTCTAAAGAAATTACCCAGAAGGACTGGCTATGAATGACACGGGTTTATTAGGACTTCCTTGCGTACAGACCAGTGAAGTTTACTGCCGCACCAGCTGCCACTGGTGAGGTTGCCCACTAAGTCCCATCTGGCCTGTGGATGGGCCACCCCAGGGGCAGCCAGCCAGTGCTATTGTTTAGTCCTCACCTAGACTTTCCCAACACAAGGTTTCATAAAGTACAGAGAGAAAAACGGCATTTGGGGGAGGGGACATGCTTGTATGAGCTCAAAACACTCGCTGTTTACAGTCCTGGCTCACATCTAGAAGCAGTTTCTCTTTGGCTTTTCTTAGACCAAGTTGCTGGCCAGGTTCCCAAGGTCTCACAGAAGGCCTTCACTCTATTTCCCACAGGGCAGGGGGGAGGAAGGGGAGTTGGAGCATGGGAAGGGGACCATGTTCCCAATTACCATACAATGGGGAAGAAGAAAGGGAGAATAATTTTATATGGGATAGGGGTGATAATTCAAAGAAAACTATTCTATCTAATTTTGGGAATCTCTGAGACACAGGATTCCTTAGGTCTGGGACAGAACCAAGCTCCCTTGCTCTCTGCCTATGCACATATGTAACACTTGCAGGCTAGAAATGAAAACTGGCTACTCTGCTACCAATGCTGTTCTTCATTAAATGTTAAGATTCGTGCCCAGGGATGCTGCTGTTCCTTTGAACATGTCTATGGTTCTCTACACTATCACCTGTGACACAAGTGTCCTACTTTGGCTGCTTTAATTGCACATCAGGGGTTGTTCCTAATCTGTAAAGAGCCAGCTGGTGGAAGTGCCATTCACCCTTCTTTTAAAATAAGATAATCTTTCCCTTATCCTGGTGAAGAGGGGGAAATTCCTTGCATTTACCCTCTGGTTGTGGGTATAGGTGCCACCAATCAGCTGTTATGAAACTCAAGACAATTTTTAGGCTGCCATGGACAATGGATTGGAGAGGAAGGAAGGGGTTGGTAGCTATGGCAGGAAAAATTGATCTGAGAAATGCACTATATATGGTTAATAAAACTAAGTTCTCCTTGCCCTAACTGGGTTGGCTCAGTGGATAGAGTGTCAGCCTGTGGACTTAAGGGTCCCAGGTTCGATTCCGGTCAAGGGCATGTACCTTGGTTGCGAGCACATTCCCAATAGGGGGTGTGCAGGAGGCAGCTGATCGATGTTTCTAACTCTATCCCTCTCCCTTCCTCTCTGCAAAAAATCAATAAAAAATATATATATATTTTAAAAAACTAAGTTCTTCAAAAAATGCATTAAAAATATTTTTTCTGTAGCCAACTTTATGTTTCAATACTTTAATAATAATAAAGGATGAATATGTATTGACCATTAAGTCATTTAGTTCATCTTGTTTCACATTCCATGGAGATGGAAAGTTGCGGGGGGTGTATCTGGGAGAATAAACTTGGACGGGACCTCTGCCAGAATGACAATGTCTTCCATTGGGCTGCCTCAGTGGTGACATCACACTCAGAGGTCGTGGGAAGCCCACCCTCCCTCCTCTCTCCTGCTCGCATCCTACCCCCTTGCCTTCCTCTGAGATCTGGTCTGGCACCTGTTTTGAAGTAAAGAGCTTTAAAGCATTCTAGCCCAAGACAGGGGTTCTGGAATTGAAACTTTCACTTTTTGCCAAGAACTAAAATGCTGTTCTTTCCTCCCCATGGGCTTTTAACAAACCCTTGAAACCCAAACCCAAACCAAGTTTTCTCCTCTCTTCCCCATCCCATACTATTTCATTGTGTTCAAGCAGTTTCTCTATGGAGTGAGCAGTGTTAACACGAATCTGCCTGAGATAAAGCCTCAGAGGTGGCCAGGTTTACCCATTGAGCATCCTTCTGCTTTCTCGTGGTGGCTCTAACCCCAGAAGCTTCTCTCTTTGTCTGATCAAATCTGCTCTCAGGAAGGAATTCACACTGAGGCGTAAAGGGCCAGATGAGGACTAATACCAATAAGTGCTAACATTTATTGAGACAGTACGCTCAACATTTTATATGCATTTTCTCATTTAATCCTCCCAGCAACTGTTATTACTCCCATTTTACAGATGAAGTAGAGAGGTGAGTAGCTTGCTCAAGGTCACAGAGTTGACCTTTCTAAAGCTGAAACAATGTTTTTTAACAGGGTTCTGAGAAGGTGTGTGTGTGTGTGAGAGAGAGAGAGAGAGAGAGAGATTAAAATACACATTATGTACAATTTACCAGTGTAACCATTTTAAAGTGTGCAACTCAGTGGCATTCAGTACATTCACAATACTGTGTAACCATCACCACTAGTTCCAGAATTTTTATCACCCCAAAGGATATCCTGTATCTATTAAGCAGTCACCCCTCCTTTCAGTCCTAGGCAACCAATAACCTATTATCTGTCTCTATGGATTTACCTCTTCTGGATATTTCATAGAAATGGAATCATATAATATGTGGCCTTTCATATCTGGCTTCTTTCACTTAGCATAGTGTTTTCAAGGTTCATCCACTTTGTAGCATCTATCAGTATCTTGTTCTGAATATTCTTGTTCTGAATTCAGTATCTTGTGGCTGAATAATATTCGACTGTGTGGATAGACCAAATTTTGTTTATCCACTCCTCTGGTGATGCACAGGAAGATAGTCTGTATCCTAAGGAATGAATCTCTAAGGTCGGAGATAAGAGGGTTGGGAACAGGGGTCTTTCTCAGAACTTTCAAGTAACAATTAGAAATCACTTATTCTGTGACTAGCTCTTTGGGAGCGCAATAGGCAGGATAATGGTACATGCTCTCCGGAGGTGTCAATGCTCCCAACCACTTCTGGCTGGTAGGGAGGTTCTGCAGGAGGGCTTTTGGCAGGCTCCTGGAGTTGAAGCTTACAAAGGCTGTTTCTATAAACTTAATGGAGGGAAAGAAATGAGGTAGCCCCTAGATTATTTATTATTATTATTTTTAATCCTCACCTGAGGTCACATTTATATTGATTTTAGAAAGAGAGGAGAGAGGAGAGAGAGAAAAAAACATCAATGCGAGAAACATCAATGTGAGAGAGAAACATCTATTGGTTACCTCCTGTAGGTACCCCAACCAGGGAGTGAGCCCACAGCCTGGGTATATGCCCTGACTGGGAATTGAACCTGCAACCTTTCGGTGTACAGGATAACCCTCCAACCAAGTGAGCCACACTGGCCAGGGCGGCCCACTGGAAAATTTAATTCCCAGCTCAGCCCAACCACTGCCCTGGATTCTCTCCATAATATGCACACATAATAGAATTAACCATGCAACTTCTAATAATGCACAAAATGGGTCTTCTTGGAGGTAGTTAAATCAGTCCACTTTGAAAACATCTGGTCAGCCCAAGCCTCCTTTGTGAGGCAAAGTATTTAGTGGTTCAGAACAAAAACTAGCTAGACCTGCATTCAAATATTGCCTCTACTGCCATTCGTTGTGTGAACTTAGGCAAGTGATACAACCTCAAATTCTTCACCTGTAAAATAGGGGCAGGGGTAGCAACAGCACCAAACCCAATGGATTCTCACCATTCTGTGTGAAGAACATAGCATGGTGCCTAGGGGAAGCAATTCTTAAAGTTATTATTAAAGGTTGTTGTCATCAACATTTACTGAGATTTTATGAAAGGATGGGCTAGGGACCAAGACTGCCAATTCTGGGTTATTTCATTAAATTAAACCTTGAGCTCAAATGGTTCAAATTTATCCCATCACCTTACATTCATACAGATTTTGTCCAGTTTTTATTTTGGAACCCACCTGAGTCCCTGGCAGGGTGAGCCTGTCCTCTGTGGGGTCAATGGGTGTCTGGAGAAATGATAGTGGCCCTGTCCTGAGGGGGTGGCTAGGGGATGAGCACAAAGGGGTAAGAGACAGTGACAGGTCACAAAGGGCAGTGAAGTATAAATATAGCCACACAGGGGGTGTGGGCTGAGAGAGAGGAGTTCATAGCCTCTGGGGAAATAAAAAAAATCAGAGGTGGAGGCGAGGTGAGGTGGAGAGGAAGCTCACTCTACATCTCTATATTCTTGATGAGGTTCAGTCTGGGCTCCAGGCACCCTCTAGCATCCCCACGGCAAGCATCTGTGCCCCATCCCCACCCTGCCTCTGGGAGGGGTCCCTGTGGGTTGGGGTGGGACTGAGAGACCTCCGCAGAGCCATCTTCGAGACCCAGGATCATTACTGCTCCCTCTGCTGCCAACGAGGCCAAGAAAGAGAAGACCCAGGAACCTGCCCCATCAGCACTGCTTGCTGTGATATAACAAAGCCATGAACAGGGAGTCTCCGTTGCCATATTACACGGCCCAGAACAGCTCCAACATGGGCATGTTCAACACCACCATGGGAAAACTGCAGCGCCAACTGCAGAAGGGAGAATATGACATCTTCAAGCACGCACCTATATTTGAGAGCGACTTCATCCAGATCACGAGAAGGGGAGAGGTGGTGGATGTGCACAACCACGTCCGCATTCTGACCATGGGCATTGCGTCCACCAGCCCCATCCTCCCACTCCCAGACGTCATGCTGCTGGCCCGCCCGGCCACCGGCTGGGAAGAGCATACAGGGCGCAGCAGAGTCCCCAAGGGAAAAAGCCGCCAGGCTGCAAAGACCTTGGAGCTCACTAGGCTCCTTCCCTTGAAGTTTGTGCGGATCTCCATTCATGACCGCGAGAAACAACAGCTGCGCCTAAAGTTCGCCACTGGCCGTTCCTGCTACTTGCAGCTGTGTTCCCCTCGGGACGCTTGGGACGACCGCTTTGCTGGCTGGGAAAACCTCGTTCACCTCCTGCAGACACCAATGGACAGTCACAACAGTACCTACACCAACCTTGCCGGGAACATGGCATGCATGCCTGTGGTTGAGGATGAGGACAAGAGCCAGAGAGTGGCCGATCTCCGAGGGTAAGAGGATCAGGACCAGGTCAGCATCAGAAGCCTCCACGTGGTCTCTGAGGTGGCTGGGGCCACTTCTGCAGCTTTTGCTGGGGGGGAGGGTATCCAATATGACTCCTACAGATTCACCGCCATGCCTGATGTAGCCACCCAAAACCCAAAACCTATGGAGCTTGACAAAGTGTCAGTAGCAGGGGTGGCAGCAGGCACCACAGCAGGCGCTCTGAGCATGGCAATAACCACATCTGCTGCCCTTGAACAACTAAGTGCGGCCATAGCAGGGGCAGCCGCCAAGGGTCCAGGGGGGAGCAGCACCAGCATAGCCATTGCAGGTGCTGCCAACATGTCCCCCAAGAGCATTAAGATGGCCTTTGCAGGTGCTGCCAATAAGGTCCCAGGGAGTCCTTCTAACACTAGCCTCTCCCCAAAGACCAGCATGGTTGTTGCAAGGGCAAAGGCAGAGCCGACCAGCAAGACTGTTGGAGAAATAGCTATTGGCCGTACCACACAACCTCTCATCGCAACCTTGCCCAAGGAAAGCAGTGTGAGTGAACAGGCCAGCAGGCAGCAGCGAGTGTCCCCAGCCATGGCTGAAGCCTCCAAGAGCAGAAAGGACTGGAGGGAGCGAAGAGAAAGGAACAAAGATCCCAGGAGTCCCCATCACCTCAGGGCAACTGAAAGCCACCAAAAGCCAGGGGGTGACAAAATCCTTCGAAAACCATCTAGCTGGTTCTTAGCCAGGCAGAGAAATGACAAAAAGGAGCCACGTTTCAGCAGCCCGGGGAGCAGCAGGCCTGTCACCATGCACAGAGTCATCAGCTCTGCTCCCATCACCAACGACTCCAGGACCTCTCACAAACCAGGGAGGAGCTTGTCTACAAGTAACTCAGGTTCCACAACCAAAAGACTCAGCAGTATCAGCTCTTTTTGGAGGAATGTCAAAGCCAATCTTACAATAAAAACAGTGACTTCACCACATGGCAGGGATGTGGACAAGTTGGCTAAGACAATGGGAAGGAACAGCATGGAGAGCATCATAGAGATAGGAGAGAGTGGCCAGGGACTGGAGATGACTGACAGTCCAACATCTGAGATCATGGAGATAGTGACCTTTGAACCCTATTAGTAGGACCCAAAGCAGCAAAGCGGACCAGGGCTCAGGGGAGGATCCCTGGAGAGCCTATTCCAGCTTTCCTTACTGCATTTTAAATAAAGATCATAGGGTCTGAATACAATGCTGCTTTCTGTCTGAATTTCTATGTCCCTTGGTCTAGCAGTGACCTCACAGTATTCACAGTAGATTCTGTGATGTCAACTGTGCTGCAGCCTGAGACCCCCATGTCCAGTCCACAGCAGCACCCCCTCACCCATGCTGGGCAGAGCCAACAGGAGGGCTCTGTCGTGCCTCAACTCCTTTCTGGCCCTGTTCCCAGGGCCATGGCTGAAAGTCCTACAATGGCCTGCGAAGCTCTACCTCCACCATTTCCCTATCCTTTTTATAAACAACTAGAGGCCCGGTGCACAAAAATTTGTGCACTAGGTGGGGGAGTGGGGGGGGCCCTCAGCCCAGCCTATGCCCTCTTGCAGTCTGGGACTCCTCGGAGAATGTCCACTTGCTGGCTTAGGCCCGTCCCCTGTGGGATTGGGCCCAAGCTGGTAGTCAGACATCCTTCTGGCAGCCCAGCAGCTCTCGGGGGATGTCCACTTACCAGCAGGGAGCAGACCTAAGCTGCAGTCGGACATCCTTAGTGCTACTGAGGAGGCAGGAGAGACTCCTGCCACCACTGCTGTGCTGGCAGCCATCAGGCTGGCTTGTGGCTGAGCAGAGCTCCCTCTGTGGGAGCGCACTGACCACCAGGGGACAGCTCCTGCATTGTCTGCCCCCTGGTGGTCAGTGCGTGTCATAGCGACTAGTTGTTCTGCCTTTATTGTCAATTTGCATATTACCCTTTTATTATATAGGATTACTGAGAAGCAAATACACCTTTGAGTAACAAATCACAAAACTATTGAAACTTCCAGCTGGAAGAAACCTTGGACATAATCTAATCATTTTATAGATGAGGAAATAGCTACCTAGAGATCAGGAAATTGACAGATGGCCTGCAGTTTAATAGCAAAGGCAGGAATGGAACTTGAGTCTCTTGACTCCTGAATGAAAACTTCGCTACAATGACTTATTGCTTTCTATGGTAACTAACACATGTTAACACCAGAGACACTGATATATTTTGTTTGACCTGCCAGATGTGTATTAAAAGGTTCTACTGGACTCTCTTAACTCTAAGAAATGTA